CAAGGATGGACAGGAGCACCACACCAACAAGGAAATGGCAGTGCCTATATGGTCATGTTATTTAAGCATGCCATAGCAAGCCTGTTGCACACAACATTTCTGCAGTTGAACCGCCCAGTGCTGCTGCTGCAGGTTCCGTTCAATTGCTCCAATTGTTTGTAACAGTTGACCACATGACCACTTCTTTTGAAAGACTTTCAGTCTTTGTTTTTGATACATTCGTTGAAGGTCTGCCATACCTGTGGTTTACTGCCAAGGCGACACAGCCACGATGCACTGCCCCTGTAACCTTTGCAGCTCTTTGGCAAGCTCAATGCAATTGGGTTTGTGTTCTCTGGATGCTACTATTCTCAAGCAGCTTGTCTACCTCCTTATGGAATTTCGACTTGGAACAGACGCAGAGACTCTTAGCTCTTGCAAGAATCGATGGAAGGTGGGTCTAACCAAAGTCTTTTCAATTGGCATCCTGCCAATGGCCTTCTGGTGAACAGCAGGCATCCCACCTTTTTATCTTTTAAACATTCAAGATTTGCTACTTGATCTCAGTGTGGCTGTTGAGAAACTGCAAAGGCTGCAAGCTCATCGGCTGCACTGACTGTTCTTCTATGCTGACATGCCTGCACTGGTTTGTTGCAGGGAGGAATTGACATACCAGATGGCTGCAGTGGGGGCAACCTTCTTGGTTGGGTCAATGGCTGTCGTTGCCACATATTGCCGATATCACTACATCATGGAGGGGCAGGATGTCAATTGGCTGGAGATAGCAGCATCTTTGTCTTTGGTGGCGTGGTAGGACGGCCTGATATACTGTGGAAATAATGCAAATGCGCGGTGCCGAAATGGCGGGGATCTTCACGCCCGTTGGGCGCACAAATTCATCTGGCATGATATGGAAGCTGCGTGGGCTCTTCACAAGTCCCATCATGAGCCAAGAACTGGGCCTTTCGAGGTGACTTCAGTTGTTTGTGTTCACTAAAATCTCTCATAGTGCTTCAAAGCACTGTGGAATTTCTCCTGAAGGCATCTGTTGATCCACCTCAAGAGACACCCTCATGTGATCGCAATCTCTTTGCCAATGTTAAGTTTATCTCAAATTGGTTGCCCACTATAGTTGGTAAGACTGCCCAGATCTATCCACTTAACTTGGGTGACTTTTTTGCTGTCCATGCTGCTTTGGATCATCTTCACATTTAGAAAAGTCTTCAAGATGTTCCTCAAGGACATGCGCACCAGGCATCTTGTTGTCTGCACTCTTCTGGCAATGCACATCACCCTCTGAATGATTTGGTGTGCCTGTCTGTGCATCCAGCTGAATGACATCTATGCTGTGGCGAATGCCATCCCAGCCATAAGCCTGTGTGCTTATGGATTCATCACGCCTGGCGTCCCTGGAGGCATTTGCTGGGGGCTGGGGCTGGGCATAACACTGTATGGGATGATGTACATGTTTGTTCACGATGGACTGGTCCACAAACGATTCCCTGTGGGGCCCATTGCAAAAGTGCCCTACCTGAAGCGGGTGGCAGCTGCTCACAAGATGCATCACATCGACGACTTTGACGGCCTCCCTTGGGGACTCTTTCTTGGAGAACAGGTATGGAGATGGACTGGCGACATCAGCCGCTGAAGTGTCGGTGCACCCTTGTGATCACGACATATAGCTGTCTCGACATGCATGCAAACTGTATGGATCGATGTGCCAACTTTTCTGCAGGTCTAAGACTGCAGTTTTGTGCCTCTCAGATAGTCACACAATGCTATTGCGATGAAGAACACCTGTTGCTTTTGCCTTTTTTTGCCCTGCACATTGGTATTGCTATGCTGTGAATTTGTCACACCGCCAAATTGTTGGGTCTCAAATCATACCTGAAGGCACAGCATTGAGGTGGACAGCAAATGGAGCAGATGCTGATGAGCGCATGCAAGATAGCCGAGCGTCGTTTTTTTACCGCATTTCCAATATATTATCTGCTTTTGCAGGAACTGGAAGGAGACCCCAAGGCCATGGAGCAACTTGAGCGGCTGGTTGCTATGGGCGACGAATAGTAGCAGTGTCCAGGGTGCGGTGTCGCACTATCTTACAGCCTGCATCTTCGATCCAGTTATGTCGATTTTGTATGTATCTCGAAGGAGCTCCGCATTTTGCGATTTTATGCTGTGCTAGCCACCCCCCTAGAATTGTTGTAGTTGAGGATATGTTGTATTGTAATTGCTGCATGAGGCAAGGTTTCAAATGCTCGACTTAAATTTAACGTACGCACATGCAGTCTGTCAGAAATCCCAACGGCACTGGCATGAGAGTATTTGGGAGGAAACAGGATCACACCGTATGGGCACGGCTCTTGATGTGGCACTTGGCGTGGGTCAAACTAATGAGTCGAAGCGTTGAAGACGCCTTGGGTGAGGGGATCCCGTGGAACTTCAAACTTCACGTTTTGAACTATGAATGTGCCAGGCAGGGGGTGACTCAGAAAATTGCATGGGCCCCTTGGTTGATGTGCCTGGAGACGATGAGTGATGCAGGGCACGCACAATGGTTGACGGGATGGACAATTTACCTGACGTGGTTTTTTTGTGTAGAAAAGTTGGTTGCACGGGGCAGCATTGTAGTATGAGAAGCTGAACAAGATCCCGCTTAGCTGTAGTTCTCGTTTCCATACCTGAGAAGACGAAATGCGAGGGGAGGAGTTGTGAGGGGAGTACGGCGTGTTATGTGGCTTGTTGCGTGGTGTGCCATTGCCAATGGCCAGGCAATTTAAGCAATGGGCATGGATTGTGGGTCAAGACTGGGAGAAGGTCTCCTCCCATGTCTTCGTGTTTCTTGTTACAATGTTGAAGTTGCCTGAGAGTATATAGGAATTGGCCAAGGGTGGGTCCATCAAACTGCCTTGGACAGCGCAGGAGACTTGATACCCTGAGCATCCCATCTCTTCCAACATACGCAATGTCATGCGCATGCCACATCATGACCGAAAGACTTAACTGATGGAGGGAGACAGGGCGCTCCTCGCTGCCCATGCACAGGCTTCCCTACACATGCTGAATGGTTTGTGGCTCAGGAAGTATTCGGATAGAAGGCAAAGGGCCCCGTGAGTGAAACTTGTCACTGTGGACATTGATGCATCTTGCACATTTTAATTTGGTGTCGAGTGGTGTACGCGATGCTGACGAGGCAGGCGCCCCAAAATCCCCATGCAGAGCATTTCGAATGCTCTGCACACATGTCGAGATGTCCAACTATGGTATGGTGCACCTGCAAAGCACCATGGACAGTCCAGGCAGACTAGCTCCACCAGGTTTTGCAGCCTACGTGTTTGCAAGGCCCAGTGGTTATGTTTTTCAAGTCAATAGCCAGCGTACGAAATGGTGATGGCAAATACACAGAATCTACAGCAGCCCCACTCGTCAAGCAGCCTGCAAGAGAGACCTTGAGTCAATCTGGCTGGCCCTTGCATCATGTGCCTTGCACCGCAATTGCAGCCCGCCCAGATTGTCCTCGAGGGACCGAGGCGTGACATGCACAGCCCATCCAGCGCTCTCCTCCAGGGCCTCCCAGAGCACCTATCTATCTGACCAATCAGGGAAGTGCACTGGGGGAGTTCTTTAACCAGGCTTACCTCTCTCATTCTCCTCGTCCGTCGAATTCATTCCTAAGGTCCCCAGCTCTCGACTGCCAGAGCGTTCTCCTTCTCCACTTTGCTTGTCACTTCATATAGCAACGGCGCACCGCGTGGTGTACTCAGGCCATCCCATGCAGTGCATGCAGGCTATTTTGTAGACGCAGGTCGTTAGCAGACAATATAAGTGGTCCAGCCACTGAAGCGGTATTCATCGTGTGGTGCCATGAGCAGCTCAACTTTACAGAAGCAAACTCATCTCTGGAAATCAGGCTCGGGATGCTTAGCTAATTGGGTACCATTTCACCAACGAATTCGGGTAGAAGGTGCTCGCCCACAAATGGCTCCGTGGGGCCCTGCTGGGTCAGCTACATGGACGCCAGGTCTGCCCCGTGGGCGCAGATGCTCTGTATCCAAACAACGTCCTACGCGATTGAAAACTAACAAACTTTCGATATGCTATTATTTTATATTATTTAACTTATTTCTATATGTATTAAATTTCGATATTATCAACAAACTAAGCGCGTCCACACCTTTCAGGTAAGCAAGGGCCGTGCTTCCATTTTGGCGACAAGCTTCACGAAAAGGATCTGAGATCCAGACTGCGGTTCCCTGTGTAACATCACAGGGATCAATGCTGCTGGCCCAATTTGACCGTTGGCGTCAGCACACAACGGACAGTGCAGTGCGCAGGGCCTGGCGAGCATTGGACATGTACCCGTGCTCTGAAACCCTTTGGATATCCGTCAAAGGAACTAAGGCGGTCAAGTGCTGAAGGACAACATTTTGATCGAGATTGCAACATTCGTCAAGTGCGCTGCGCGTCAGATGGGCTACGCAACCCGATGTGAGAAAAAAAATGAAACAATCCTGCTCTTGATCTAGAACCTATTCCTCTACGACACCTGCACGTCCTCGCCCTGTCAGCGACGCCTGAATTGCGCGCCTATTCTTGCACCGAAGGCGCCGCTCATCGCGCTTACTACTGGCCCACCCTTCCGGTAAGGGTCCAACATCCACCGTGGGTGGAACAACGTCCCGCACCGAACTGCAACTGCAAGGAGGATACCCGTCATATCTTGGCGAGCGGACGACCACCCCACCACACCCCAACCCCTTTGTGCAAATCCCCAAAACCTGCACCCGCCCCCACCCCTCAATCCATCTCCTCCTCCTCCGTCTTCCGCAGTGTGCTGAATCCCCGGTCGCTGTAGCCCAGGCCCATGCACACGTACTTTGTCTCCAGGTACTCCTCGATCCCCTCCCGGCCATGCTCCCTCCCGATCCCTGATTGCTTCACGCCCCCGAAGGGCGCGGCCTCGCTGGTGATGGCCACCTCGTTGACGCCCACCAGCCCGTATTCCAGCGCCCTGGACACGCGCCACGCGCGCGCCAAGTCGCTGGTGTAGAAGTACGACGCCAGGCCATACTCCGTCTTGTTGGCCAGCAGGATGGCCTCGTCCTCGGTCTTGAACTTGAACACGGGGATGATCGGACCGAAGTTTTCCTCTCTGAAACATCGCCTGCACGCAAATTCACCGCTGTCATGCGAGGCATTGCATTCGCGTGAGGCCTTTCTTGGGAAAGGGGGAGCGCAAGCGGCGCTGCAGCTGCATTTGAAGACAATCTGGTGTGCAGAAAGTTGATGGTGTTTGCGATACTGATGTGCCGCGCATGCTCCAGCACTTAGCGAACACGAATGCACATTGAGTGATACAGGCCTAAACGCAAGGGACACGTTGTGCAGCTTCCAGCAACACATTTGGTGCCAAACGCTATAAGGCGCTGCAAACAGCAAGTGGAAATCTGTTGTTCTTGCCCATTCCGGCAATTCAGGGATCAGGGATAGGCCACACTCGTCGGAATCTCAATATCAGGTGGCCACAGCTTCTACATATTAGGTGCTCCTATGAGGAAGGTCGGGGGTGTGCTCCAAAAGTGTAGATGTGTTGAGCTCCTATCTACTTCAAAACCTCACTATTCTGATAAATATTTCCCTTCGATTTCCACTTGGAAACGATCAGGTGAGCTTCATCGACAATTCTTGCGTTTGGGGTGCCTGTGTGCCAACAACGTCACACCCACATGGAGCGTGTTCTAATGAAAGTCAGTTCTGCCGGTGTCATCAGACGAGACAGTCTTGTCAGTTGTCCCCTGAATGCTCGGACTGATTTTCAGGCAACTAAGCACACTAGACAAGAGCGAGCAATGCCTTGACGAAATCGGGTGGTGGCCAAGTTTTTGTCTGAACCATAGCTGCTTCAAGACAGAAGCAATCTAAATACATGAATTCAGAATGCAATGGCCTATTTTGCAATCATGGTACCTCCGGCAACCACCTGGGGATGGCTTTGCAAGGGACAGTTTGGAGACCTTGGGGCGAATCGCTCAGCCATGATATGAGCCCCCTGATGTCTGGCATCGCATCACATGATTTCGTTACAATGTTAAGATATGGTTCCATTCCGTTGGAATCCTGAGATAAGAGATATCAGGATGCCCTCACATGCAAAATCACAACCATTTTCATTCAACCAGAAAGGTACAACGTACATGTCAATGCTGGCATCCCTCAGGACCGTAGGCTCATAGAAGTTGCCATTGTCTAGACCCGGTATTTTCGCTCGCTGCCCGCCAGTGGTGGTCAACGCCCCTTTGGAGACGGCATCGATAACCATCTCATCAACCTGCGAATGCCAGTCACAGCAGGCACACACATCAGGTCCAGCTGCAGTACTTTGTCAAGCCATGGATCAAAACAGGGCGAGAACAAATCTCTATCTGACGGTGAGAATTAACAAATGATCAAATGGCTACTGTGTGTGCGTGGACAGTACAGCTGCAATTCTGCGGCCGCGGGGTAGCCTGAGTGAATATTGAAGGGTCCCGAGCACGTGTCTCAGGAACTATCGATTGCAGTGACACAAAATTTGGACGCTGATGTTTAAGTGCAGGCACACCTGCTGCACAGAACTCCGTGACACGATTCAGATGCCCAGGCAAGCCCTTCGTTACGTTGAGGGGTCTGATTTCCTCGCACGTGTCAAAACTCAACAGGGCAATGGCCAGAGGTACACAACACAATTTTCCTATAAGGAGAGCTCTCAGCGAGGATGGAAATATGACAATTTCGGGAGTGGACACTCTGCGCAAGTTGAATAACAGCAACAACGCACCCTGAGCACTTTTGGGGGCTTTGCATCGCCTTGCATTCTCTTGCTAGCACAAGGTATGCATATCTTCTCTTAAGACAGTGGTGATACCTGGACACGGAAATGTGGTGTACCATTTTGAAAACGAAAACAAAGACTCCCTGGCAAGCTTCTAACATATGCTCTGTGTGCTGAACATGAACACCAAAGCAGCAGGACGCCTTTCATTTCTTTGTGTCACTGAGTGCAGAATTCGTGTGCAGCTGAATCCGCAGTGCCTCCAGCAGTGCAGCACAACCATCAGCGGACAGATCAAGATATACGACAATATTCTTCATTTCTGGCATTTGTGGTGCTGGGAGACAGGAAAGGTCTTCAATGAACACTGTTCTTGTAGATATTACTGCAACAACAGCATATGACAGCACATTAACATTCCTTTGACAGCCAGCATCTGTGGCAATAAGTGACATGCAATTACATCTGCATCATTTTCAAAGGTGGAAACGAGTCAAACTCCATTGTGCAAGAAAAGGGACGGGGCAAATATGAACTTCTTGTCATATTTGCATTGGGTGACACACAATGCAATACAACGTGCCAAAACCAAAAGTCAAGAGTAATGAGGGGGTTGAATTGCACATCAGCGTGTGGAAAGACTTTCCGTGCGCTCGTTGGCACATACCCTGTCCAATCTCTCAGGTGATATGAGGGGCCCCATGTGCACAGTCTTGTCCAACCCATTGCCGATCCTAATTGCCCTCGTGAATTCACTCAGAGACTCAACAAAGCTGTCATAAAGACTGTCCTGCAAACGACAGCAAAAGAGAAGCAACACCTCAGTGTACATCCACATGCATCTCGCCTGCTTGTGTCCATTCCCTGCTTCCACGGCACACATATGCCCATGCACCTGGAGGCCGCCCGCAATAGCTTGTGGGAATGAAGGCTTTTGACAGCGACCCGTCATTAGCTACTGCAATTACTGCTTGTTGCAATTATTCCAATAGGTCGTTCGCATTGGGACCATGCTGAAATGTATGCAGATACACCTAAGCCCATTAAGCTACATAAAATTCTGGGTGTTGAACACAAAGGAGTCAGCGATCATGCTGTGCAAAAGTCCAGATTCTCCATCCGCAGGGTAGAATAGACACTTCCTAATCGGCTCCAACTTGCGGCTTCCCACAAGATTCAGCTGCAGTCTGATATATGTACCACACCTGTACAAATATCCTGTTTGCACATATGCAGGTTTGCCCAGCATTGCGCAGTGCTGAGCGCACAGCATCCCTCGCTGCCCGTTCGATGTCAGCATCCTCGAACACAATGAATGGTGCATTGCCTCCCAGCTCTAGGGTCACGCGTTTGATGCTATGCGCTGCTTTCTCTGCCAGGAGCTTTCCAACCTTGACGGAGCCAGTAAAGCTGAGCTTTCGCACAGCATCCGCAGCAAACAACTCGTTTCCTGATCACAGGAAGAGCCGTAAAATGTCAGTTATGCCACTGTTTACCTTGGCTTACACCCACCAGCCGCTTGTACCTCGTTCGTACCTCGTTTGCGCAGCCAGCAGGAATGTTGGAATTCTATATTTGATGCACTGGTAAATATTGCCAACACCACATATGGAGCCACACCCCCAACCAGACACTCTTGTCACTGCCATAAAAGTCCCACGCCAAAACACACAGGTAGTATATCTGCTGACCACTGATACACAGCAGTGCTCACCGACCTATATCTTCTCCTTCACCAAACAAAATATTCAAACAGCCTGACGGCAGGCCCGCCCTTGTCGCAAGCTCCCCAAGTGCTGCTGCTGACAATGGGGCCAACTCGCTAGGTTTCAGCACCACCTGGACACATCAAAAGCAATGCGAGGCATTCACTTCTGCTACCCAACAGAGGGCAACAGCACCCATTCCCAAACGGTTTCTGAATACAGTTGCTCTCTGGACAAAGCACTTCCCCATTCGACCAAGTGTAGCCGATTTGGTTGCCTTTGCCAACGCATTGCTTGTTCCTTGACTGGGCAGGAACGATTGACGTGACCTCAGTGAATGGCTTGCTGGTGGGTGGCAATCGGTGGAATCTGCCAGTTGCGTGCTAGTCTTGCTCCATGTGGAGGCTTGCAAAATGTTGGTATTGAGCAGAACATCGCAGCATGAACGGCAACCTTCCACCACTGGGTGCCTCAGCATTTCATCTTCAATGCAGGAGAATATTTGCACACTTCCAGCAGTTTAGCAAGGTGCGAAACTGCTGAACCCAATCTTCTGGAATGCGCTGCCACCCAACTGCACTGCATTTACTGCCCAATTGCCACAATAATTTGGGATCAAATTTGATGGATGGATGGACTTGATTTGCTGGATTTGTGGTTGAGACTGCACGTCATCACCCAACAGGTATCTTGCAATGATTCAGCTGAATTAAAGCACAATGTAGACTCATCCAGCGTGTACAACTTTATCACAATGAAGCAGAATGCACTATGCAGAGAATCACAATCGTACCGTGCACCCCGCTGCCAATGCGGTCGCAATTTTTCGAGCAGGCATGGACAACGGAAAATTCCAGGGGGTGATGGCAGCAACAACTCCAACAGCCTCCTTGACCGTGAGCATCTTCCTGTCCCTGCTGCCAGGCTCCAGAACACTTCCAGCAATTCTGCGGCATTCCTCAGCCATCCACCCCACTGAGGCTGCACTGCAGGAAGTTCCCAAGCACAAATCTCATCATCGACTCGTAGACCACCTCAACACACTGTTCCCTATAATCTATCAAGTGTTGAGAGGTGGGGCGAATAGTCTAGAGCCTGACCGCCACTGAGGGCAGATCAATGGATGCGGCAGTTGTTGATCGACATGTCAACTGGGCGTTTGGAGACAGACTGGATGAAATAGGGCATGAAAAGCAATAAGGAAAGGAAAAGCGACAACAGGTGGAAGCATGACAGTACTGAAAGCAAGAATGCAAAACTCAAGCCGATGATATTCTGATGTCAACAGGGGCCAGCCACGGAATACCCAGAGAATACAAAACATCATCAGACTCACCCATTGGCAACTTCAGCTTTGGACTCCAGGAGTGGCTTCCCACATTCCATTGTTATGATCGTGGCAAGGTCCTCTGTAGCATCGATAATCAAGTCATGCCACCTGGCATATTGACGCCCACAAAACACCTTTATGCACAGCTTTCCATCCTTTCCACAGGTTCCATATCTTATCAGTGTGGCTCTTGTGTCAACCTCTTGAGGTCATCGGTTGGGCCAGATCCTGTCCCAATACCATTGGGACTGCTGATTCAAACATTATGTGGTATCTTAATGTACCCATTCATGGAAACACAATAGCAAAGGTGCGCCTTGCATATTGTTGTTTCTGCCTATTATTGTTGCTTTCATTCATTCTTTTGGATATTGACACAGTCAAGGGGCAATCCAGGATCCAAACTGATGGAGATTCATGGGGCGACTAATGGAGGCATGGCGTTTTCTGGTGTTCAGCCATCATGTACGTAATCTTGTCAGCAACAGCAACAAAGGCATTCTTGCAAACATCAGAGCGTCGTGGCATTGACTACCAGGCAGGTCATTGGTAAACATAGGCAAAGTGACAAAGGTTCTGCAAGGGGCATTGGCAGAGGTACCAGCAATACATGCTTGGGGCATCAAAGGGAGAATCGGTCATGTGAACAGCATTTCCTGCAGCTTGAAACGTTTCAGCTTGTTCATTGCTTTCCTTTATCTGTCTGCACTCCTCGGTTTCAAAAAATGCCCACAAGTTGGCACCCTTGATAAGAACAATATCTGCATCCAGCCCCAATCTAACCAATTAGCATGGCAATGCTCACAGAGATAAAATAAGGCTGCACATTGTTGACTTCCCTTGTCACATATTCCGCAAAGTGGCAAAGTAAAGTCTCTTCACAAGGCTGGAAGTCAGTGTGTGCTGGAGCAGCTACTCCAATTCTTGCCCTTACAGGTGTTACAAGCTGATGTGTAATTCTGCGTTCATGAAGATGGCGCTCTGGACAATCTTCGCACACCCACATGCATGATATTGCCTTCCAGCTGCACAGCTTTTGTCACTTATTGACAACTCCATTCAAGGACTGTCATGCTGCAGGTCCAATGGCACTGTTTTCGTGCTGATTTTAGAAGTGCATTCTCAGCAGATTTTAACAGGCTGGCAAGGGGGGCACCCACATTCATCCTCACACACCTCCGAAGGATTTTGGCTCTGTCAGCTGCAGGAATGGCTTTCCAGATAGGAAACATGGAATCTGCGGCTGCTATGGCTGCGAGAGCCTCTGCATTCCCCGCCTGCGAAACTGCCCCGATCGTGGTGCCCGTTGCGGGATTGTAAACCTGGTTGGCATGGGAAAAATGGACTTAACATAGCGACTGTGATGTTGGGCTTATCGTTTCGATAATGCCCTAATCCCCCTCCCAAGAGGCTGGGTTCTACATTGGCACGAGATGGACACTTAGAAGAGAGCGTCTTGCACATATGCCCGCACACTCTGCAGCCATTTCGCAGGGAAGACCAATAGCCACCAAATGAGCCCACACACAGGAAAGAAGGAAGCAAGAGATGAACAAAGTCTGCCTGGGCACACACTCGCGCGCGCGCGAGTGGTATTGCATCGCGCATACTTGAACGGCCCTGGACCGCAACGGAAACAACACAAGCAGCAGTTCACTGCAAAGGCGCATCGCGCAGTGAGTCCGGCACCTCAGCGGGGTTCCTTGACCCCACGGTAGACACCCTCTCCCCCCCGATGAGGCACTCGGCGTGCAGCAATTCCCCATCCGCCAATTTGCCCAGCAATTCATCCGAAAATCCCGCAGATGTCGGGGGCTCCGATGGCGCCTGGAGCGACGTCAGGGGGGCCGCCTGGGAGCACAGCGGCGCGGCGCGGCCCCACCTCACCCCCGATGTGGACAGCAGGAGCGATCCGAACCGACGGAGCATCTCCCCTCCCTGCGGGGCCCGCCTGGATGGCGGGCGGGCGGTGGGGGCGGGGGTGGGCACCCAAACGCGACGTCGCCTTGTGCGCGGACAGAGGGAGTCAGGGGACACACTCGTGGAGGTCTCTGCGTGCTGACTGGGCGCCACAATGTACGTCCAGTGCGCAGCGCCGAGAGCTCAATGAACTTACGTTTGGATGGATCCGCATATCGCGCTGACGAAGGCAGAACTAGTTGAAGATCCCTTCTTGTTTCGACACCCTAAACCACTGACCCACTGACCCACGTGGGCCTCGTCAACGCAAGAAGAAGGGATCGTCACGGAAAAGACAGAGGGACTGATATATTCTCTCCGTAGGCCCGAGCACACGGCGACGGTTTACAGCGGAGGGAAGGGGCAACAGGAATTCTGTCCCTTATATCCAGTCCGTTCATCATTGTCCTTAACGCAACTCCTAAAGCATCATCACCGCTTTATGCGTCCAGCTGTTCACAATACTCGATCAGTTCTAGATACAACAGCACTGTCGTTGGTGCGAAATTCAAAGGAGTCGACTCCTCTACAAGTCGAGTTGCATCGACTAGTGTACAGTGTCGTGCACTCGTATGCGTAACTGCACAAGCTGCATCTCTAATCTGGTGGCGGTATGGTCTGCGGTCCGACTTAGTGATTGATGCGCACACAAATGTGCGGTTGCGATTCACCAAATTTGGTTAAACAGGTGTTGGGAAAGCGCGCACAGCACTACTCAGGTGCCGGTTGACCGACGCCACAACACGGCCAAGGTATTGCGGCGGTGACCAATTAGTGGTGCGCATCCTGTGCCGAAATTTTGCGAAAGACAACCGTGGGAGTGGCGGCGTGTGCTTTCTTTACGTGAAACGGCCGGCTGCTCCCGCCCTTTGGGGGCAATCAGCCGCACTCCCACCGGAGGTCCCAATGAAATCCCATGACTACAAATACACTAATGTACAAGGAGAGAAATCCGGAACTCGGGCATGACAGTTTTGCCTTTTCGGTCTGCTTGTCCCCAATGCTCAGGCAACAAAAAAGATGGCGCTCACTGGCGCGCGTCCCCTTTGGCTCCTCCGTCAGTGAGTCCAGAAACCGGAACACAAAATCCAGGTCCAAACTGGCTGTCCAGTAACCACTGCGCGTCCTCCCGCATGGTACTCAGGTCCCAAGTTCAATTTTGTCCCGTAGTATTAAGAGAGGCGCCGTCTCCCGTTCACATCCCAATCTGGCGCTTCCCACCCTGCGCCGTCCTAAACGTAAACGCTTTAACTACGCTAACGCTGCGAACCAAATTACAGTTTACCGCTTTGCTTTGCAGCTTTCAACAAAAGCTTGCGGTGTTGACGCGAGGGCCCTTGCGACCCACAATCGCCCTTTTCCACCCCGCATATCGGCACGTTTGGTTTTATTTTGAGCTTCGGGCAATAACGAGTCCCATTGTTGTCGATTGGGGTTAAATTTGCAAGGTTATAAGCTGACCCACAGCCGGGTCATCTGACGACGAGGTGGAATTCCTGTGGCGGATGTACCGCGGAGCAGCTGCAATGATTGAAACTGACTACAATTCTAACAATAGGGCACAATTTGTGACGATTTTTAGCCTCAAGAAGTATGTTAATTCAATAAGCAGGTGCCCATGTCGTCCAGCCTATGGCATTCTCGACCGCAATCTCGGCAGCTGCGATTATTACATGTATTAACATACCTAAGGCAGCTTGCTACCTAAGGTTGGGAATTGACCATGACAGGCATCGGACCCTGCTTCGACAGAAGTCTGCCTCTGAGATTGGACTCACTTCCCTGAAATTGGACCTGCAGGCATCGGTGTGGTGCAGCAGGTCGACCATTTATTCCGCCGTATTACAATATCATATGAATCACACATTAGTTAGAAATATTTTGATACAAACGCATCTTTGGTTCTGTCGATAATACGACTGCAATGCTTGTACTTTTCTCATTGTGTTCTGAGCAAGACGCATTTAAAACGCTTGACTTGCAAGCCTGGTATGCCACCATCTGTGGGGATGTGTATTTTTCATCCAATGGCTGCACTGGTTCCGGGGCCATGCTTCCATCCGATGGCTAATCTGAAAAGTGCACAGTCCCCTGGGCGGACTGCGGGCGATTAAAATTCCCTGTGGGCATCCCTGGCCCAACCATCCCCCTAAAGCGCCGCCTGCCTTGCCCCCGCCACCCCCCCACCCCCACCCCCACCCTTAACGGCGAGCAACAGCGGCGTGCAAAATTTGCATCCCCGGTCCACGCCAGTGGAATCGATGAAGCAAGAACTCAGCTTCGGTTCCGTTGTTTAGCCGCACTAGAACCATCACCAGCAACACAACTTCGTGAATTCGCGGCCAGGAGCGGACCATCTGGAAAAATCAGACGTTGATGCAGTGTTGCGGCTACATTGCCATTGAGACAGTATGTTGACGAGCATTGATGCGTGCGCCAGCGTCGCGTCAATGCTGATCCGCTTAGCTTTTTGAGCAGTAACTGGTGATGGATCAACGCCACCGTGGACACGCCGTTGCGCCAATTTCCACCCAGATTGCAGATGCAAGAAAAGATTTTTTCAGTTGCAACATCGTTCGAAGACGATGGACACGCGGCCCATTTGGGGTTGAAGCATCTGACTCATCCGGGAGTTGGGTTGCTTCTGAGCCTCTGTCAATTGCATGCGGCGCCATTCTGCGAATCAACCCTGTGCGTTTTCTGTCACCTTGATTCAGCTGTCATCCATTGTTAGGTTGCTGACTGATTCGCCATTGGGAGAGCCGTCATAGTCATAGTCGCCACACATAGTCAGTGCTCGCTTAACCACACTTTGGGTGCTCCTTTAATCCTTTAATAAGGATTGCAGATGGGCGTCTTTGGGCGACGGTGCTTGCTCAATGACCCAATTTTGTGGTCACCACGCAGATCGATGCTCTGTCATAGTGGGCGTAGGGACGGGCTGGTGGCGTTAGGCGCGGTGGTACGGCGTGGCAAGTCGCTGTACGCTTTGGCGCTTGCGTGTTCACCATGCCAATGTTGAACCCATTTAAAACAACCTCTTATTTGGAACAATGCTTTGTGTGGACGAACAATTCGTTTATTTAATTTACAGTAACATCGGTGAGCAGACGAGTTGTTTTTCCATACAAGTCCTTGTTTCACCAAAGAAGTTGGTTCAAACAAGAGATTGTTCCAGAACATATTCTTGATAGGATGGACAGTCAATTTCCAGATGCTCAAATTCGACCCCAAGCCATGGCGCTTCCAAGCAGGTAAACACACAACAGCCTGTCATGTACGGATATGCAAATCTCCAATGTCGCGCCTGAACGTGCTTCCGTGCATGTTTGTTACCTGTTGGATAGATACACACACATTCGCAACGCTGACATCAAACTTATCGCTTTTTCAGGAAC